TTTTTTTTTTTTGGCTGAAAAAAGTGGCAGCCTGCGGACGGAAGGTGTTGAGCCCGTGGCGGGAAAGGCAGTTTTGGCAGGACAGGGAGGAGGCGGCGGCGGTAGTAAATGCCGGGGGGAACCCCGAGGCGAAGGTTTTGCCGTTCCCGAGGCAGGGGCCGGGGAGGTGACGCCTTGCAGCCCCTTTAGCAGCATTTATCCCTTTAAAATTGTTTCTCCGTGCCTTCCTGCTGCTGTCGTGGCTTTTCCGTGGAGATGTGTGTCAAAAATAAAGAAAAAGAAGTACACTCCTAACATCGGTGCGATTTCAGTAAATAGTAAGATTGGTTTCCCTGCCTTAGAGAAAGTACGTTTTGTTCTGTAAGTTTGGAAAAAGCCCTTTTGTCGAGCACGGGGAGGTTTGTGCGAGGGACTAGATATTTTGGCGCCATTCTGTTAGGAGAACTTGTTGGGGAGACTCCCTCCCCCTGTGTACCGGTGCTAACTCTTCTCCAAACTCGGCATTGTATGTTATAAAGCCCTTTTACTTTTTCAAATCTCACTGGAAAATACACAAATGCTCATTTTTATTTTCTTTTTTCTCCTATTTTCTTTTTTTTTTTTTTTCATGTAATTTCAAGGTCATTTGGTATGACCAGCCTGGTGTAATGTTTGTGGGTTTTTTTTATGGAAATACTGTGTTTTGCATTGAATGCAGCTGCAGGTCCTCATAGTACAGGATTTACTCAGTGTTGTGTTCTTTTTGTGCTTCAGTTATATTGGAGCGACATAGTGGTACAGACACAGCTTGAAATTATTGTCCTAAACTTAAACATTTACAAAACCCAAAATGTGAAACCTAAAACATGAAATCCCAAACTGTGAACCTTCCCCCAGAGATTAACAGAACTGCTCGTCAAAAATTAAAATGGATAAAATGAAGCATGCGTATAAGCACGGGTAGGACTTGGGCACGAGATACTTAAAGTATCAGTCATTGTCAGCCTGAACAATTTTGAATCGTAATAAGACCAGATTCTCTAGGTTTGTTATTTTTAAAGCTGCTGATAATTGTAGTGCCGAAGTCTGATTTCTCTAGTTTAAATAAACGTTGTTGGAAAGTAATAATTTTTAAATGAACTTCCAATAAAAATACAAATTTTACACGTTATTCTATGTGCAACCCAGACCTTGAAGCATCAGTACTTGCATGTGAAACAGTATATAAACAAAATTGAGTGTTTTAGTTATTCTAATGAAGTGGATGAAGCAGAAAAGGAAAATAGACTCCAATAAAAGACAATCAATTGGTTAGAGTATAAAACTTTATGGAATATCCAGACTTTATGGAATTTACTTGCAAATATTAAAGTATTATGACTGATTTTTAGAAAAAGACATCCTATTCCAGTGTGAGGATTTCAGTAGGTAATCTAAGCCAGAACATTAGTGCTGTTTGATGTTTAGTTTTAATTACAGAATTACTGGCTGCGCTGGAATGTCTTGTGAGAAAATCTATGGAGTTAGTGTTTCTTAGTGATACTCCTTTCTCTGCCTTGTAAAGCTACGAACCTCACTGAAATCGGAGGAAGATCCCCACTGCTATCAGTGGGAGGTGAAGCAAGGCCCTGGATAACCTCAAACATCTAACGTGAAAATGGGATAAAAAAATAGACATATAAGGAAATGTTTTAAGTTCCCCCTGCCTTACTATTCATGTAGGAGGAAGACTGATAGGTAAGGAAATGTTTTAAGTTCCCCCTGCCCCTGCCTTACCATTCATGTAGGAGGAAGACTGATAGAGTTACAAAAGTGAGATGTGCTGCTTTTGTGGCTTTGGCTGGTTGTTGGTTTTGTGTTTTCTGCAGGTCTTGTCTGTCCTGCAGCCCCCTAGGCTAGTCGGAGGCTTGTGGGAACGTGCTTGAGAAGGAGGTTTAACTTGCCCTACAGAGATACTAATTTAAGTTGACTCTGGTTTAGGAACTCCTTGCATGATTTTTATGTCAATGCTGACTCAACCATTATTGACACCAGACTGCTCAAGCCAAACCTTTCTGGTGTCTGTATGTATCATAAATAAGTTAAAGCCAATGGTTTATTTTTTTTTATTGGTAATTTTCTGACCATGCATTACTTCAGTTTTTCAGCCTCTAAAATAGGTTTCATAGTCTCAATTTTGTCTGTGAAAGGGGGCTTAAGAAACTGAATAAGCATTTATAAACTCTTTAAGATCCTCACTGTAACATTGCTGTAAAAAATGCAATATATCATGAATGCATAGCTATGTTAAATTTTCTTCTGACTTTGTCCTATTTATTTTCAGAACATGCTTGAAGAACTATTAATTCATAAGCCAGATGATCCCATTCAGTATATGATAGACCATTTAAAGCAAAACAACGATGATGGTAAGTGAAAACTGAGACACCATAAATAGTTCAATTCCTTATTTGTAAACAGCTGTCTGAAGGCTGGGCTTCAGTTGGCAAATGATGGATAAAACTTTTCAGACTGTGTCTTGGGGGGGGAAAAAAAAAAGGTGAGCGTTTTGGAATAGTTATAGGTAAGATGCCTTTAATTTCTTTTTTTAGTGGGTAATCTAATAAAAAATGCACTTTAACAGTTATAACAATGAAACCCTCTAAGGGAATAACAAAGAGTTCTAGTGTATCAATTATTAATGCGTTCTGTGCCCCATCTGATATTTCCTGTTGTCTTTAAGCTCGCTAATTACTCCTTTTGTCAGGTGTAAATTTGGTTTCCTATTCTACCTGGGCTGGCAGATTCTCTGTTTTTTTGATTAGTTAGTTACTATCTGCTGTTAATGAGTTCCACTGCTCAGTGGCATCTCAGATGAAGGAACAGTGAGCATGCCTCCTTGTATGTATAACAAAACCTGGTAAATTGAATAGGAAGTCTGTATTCTGCACAATAAAAGCATGTACACTCAATCAAATTATTTGATTTACAAACTGTTCACCCTTAGGCAGATTATATTTGGATATGCACAACTGAACTATAATTTTTGTTCTGCATGAGCTGTCAGGGGTAGCTGGTGTCATGTTGCTTTGATGTTTCTTTAAAACCACAGTAAACCGTTATGAAAGTTCTGCTGCAGCATCAATGAAATCATCATCACTAGAGATGCTGTGAGCTCTTCGTGGTGGTGATCAGATGGATGTTGATTGAAATGCTGCAAAATATTAAAAAAAAAAAAAAAATAATCAAATCCTGCAAAATGTGCCCGGCCTTTTGTGGTGTAGGCAGCATGAGTAATCAATCTGTTTTATAGACCCATGGAAAACATGTGGAAGAATTTCATGAGGTTTGATAGAATGCTGATAAAATTTCTTCACATTGAGCTAACATTTGTCCTTAAGCCACACAGTATTATTTGAACAAAATTAGGCAGGTTTCCATTTCATGACTTCAGTACTTAGAGGCTAAAGATAGGACTACAGCAGTTGTTTGAAAAAGGAAAAATACTGTCTGCTTTTGGTCTGGAAAACCCTATTAAGAAAGGGAAGGAACTCCAATTAAAATTAAAGCCTAAATGTTGTTTTAAGAATAAATTATATGGAAAATAATGTAACAGAAATCTGTAGCAGAGTTGATTTTACTTTTTGATCACGGTGGAAGGTGCTGACTATTTAGAAGAAAAAAAAAACCCTTATTAGAGCCATCAGTAAAGCGATGAATTTTCATGATCTTGCCTTGCTAGACAGTTTTAGCCCTAGAGAAAATGTCAAACAGAGATGTGTGGAAAAGAAGCATTGCATCTATCCCAGGTGTGAAGTTAGAAAACCTTTTTAATTAATAATAGGATCTAAAGTACTCTTAAAAATATAAACAAGTCTAATGATGATTATAGCTTACAACTGTCTTGAAAATTTTGTAGGTCAAATGTGTGGCTAAGTGTTTTTGCTTAAGGCTTTGTGCTATTGTTCTTTCATGTGAGCCTTCTAAAAACCTTAAAGAACCATATGCAGACTGATAATTCTTTCATATACAAAGATGCTAGTTTTCTACATTGTATCTTCGTTTGTGCCAATAAATAAAAGCGTTCGGGATCCAAGTGGCATTTCTGTGAGTTCTTCCTTTACAGTCAAACTTCTGAAGAAATGTAAAAAGTTCTGCAAGAACATACATCATGTACTATGTGCTTTTCCTGTTTGGCAAAGGATTTCTCTTACAAGTTAAGCAAATTTTGTCGCATTAATATTAATCATAGAATCTTTTGGACTTAAATGCAACTCAATGAGTCCAGCTATTCTTTTGCGTTATTCCTAAAATAATTGTTGAATGTTGAAACTTACTTTACTTGGAAGAGTAAATCCTGTAACGTCTCATCAAGACTAAACATGGAACGAAATATAATTTGTTACTGAAGAAAAAGGCATTTTCTAGATTTTCCTGACTTCATTTAGCTGCTGATTCAGACCTCCAGTATTAAATACTGACTATTTGCTGATTGGAGGGGGTTAAACATTACATACAGTGGTGTCCTGGTTGTGCCCTTGTGTCATATGTTTAGGGAGAATGCTTTAGAGGAGTCTTACAAGTGTGCAAATGAGTAAATCAGTGAATTACACTGCCCCATCTGCTGCCAGCCACTAAGCAGAGAGAAAACCAGATTTAGTACAAAGTGAGCATTTACAGTAGCCCTGGGCAATATTAAAGCATGATATGGTGTATATAATGGTATGTTTCGTTTTTTATCAAACGTTTGTCCAAGAAAGCTGTGTATTAAAGCTTCAATACCTAAGGGTTTTCTTGTGAATTTTAAATCATGCTCCTAGTTAAACCTCAAAAGGATCTGTGGATGGAAAGGTTTTTTGATTTTCTTTGAAGTGGTTTGAAGAACTTGATTAGTGTTGGCACCCGAGCACTCTTTTATGACGCTGTTTATAAATAATTCCTAAGTACCGGGCTGGAGTTTCAAGGTGTTAGATTAAAAAAAAACCCTAGGATTTAATCACATTACATTTGAAAGAAATTAGGTGATAAAAACAGCTGATGTATCCTTTTAAAGTATTTTTCTACATTGTGTACTAGTTCTGTTGCACTTGCAAGAACCAATAAGGGGGGAGTTTTTCTTAAACCTTCCAAGTCAGATAACTTTGTAAAGATGAATCTGTAATTTGGATTTCATGTATGTTTAAAAATTGCACCTGCCCAATAACTGTTAAGTGCATGGAAGGCCTCATAAAAATACATTTCACATCCTTCCCTGTCTGCTGCCATCAGACGCTTTATCTCCCTTGGTTATCAAGAGCTGAAGAGGTTTTTGGGTGAGTAGATCCCTCCTCTGTTTTGACCTATGTTACTCCCAGTAAATAGTCACCAGTCTCTTCTGTGTATAGTCTGGTTTGGTTTGGGGTTTTTTTCCCCCAAGGTATAGGGGAAAAACATCAAAGATGTTAATAGAAAATGACAGCTGGAGGGATTGCAGCCCAAGGTGCGTTAATCAAAAAAGTCCCAAATATTTTCCTAAGAGTTACTCTGTTTTCTCGTGTTTGTCTTGCTTCTAATTCATTCCCAATGAAGCTTACAACGGTAATGCCTATTGTGTTGTCTGTATGCATTAGATTAAGAATTCCTCAGAACCAGGATGCATTTTTCCCACTTTGCCCCCTCAGGGAAAGGAGAGGGACATGCAGTGGAGAAACACATGATACAGAGACGAAGAAAATTACTTTTAATGATGACTAGAAAAATTGAAGGTAGCTGTCAAAAAGGGTAGAGAGCGTGTGCTTAATTTTGCAATATCTAAATCTTCTCTGAACCCTGACACAACCTATTTAGATGAACCTAAAACGTGAAATTGCATTTTTTTTTGTGTGATGAGAGCCAAAAGGTTTGCCAAAGTAATAAGTATTTTTACTACCATACTGTGTAAAGGAAATGAGAGAAGAGACAATCTCAAGAAGTCCCGTCTGATCTCAGCCATCCCATGATTATGATAATAGCAACTTCTAAATAGCCCTGTTCTGCGTGCACAAGCTAAAATATTTTTTCATCACAAAATGTGTTGGGTCTAAATCAATGTTTTGGGAATAAAAGTCAAACCCAGATAAGAAAATGTTCTTATCTTATGCTCTGGTTCATCCACTAAACTATCCATGTATTTAAATTGATTGAGATAGAGAGATATACAAGATAGATATGTAAGTGGCCTGTTTAGTCAGAGTATTAATCTCATTGACCATGGAGATATAAGGAAGACCCAGCTGGTACTTAGTGTTCTCCCTTTTTTCCCTAGTGGAGCACAATCCTGAAGTCTCCATTCAGGCAGATCTCCAACAGAAACAATTGTTTCGTTGTGATTACATTTATATTATGCAATGCAATAGTGGGAAAATGGTTGCATTTTTTGCTGTTCTGCATCTTCACGTGCACATATTCTTGTTTCATAGCTCCAAGAATTTGTGTACTTGGTCCACCTGCTTCTGGGAAAACTACAGTTGTAAGTAAACTACCTTCAATGTTATAATACTGTCCACTTACCTTTTTACTTTCTACTGAGCTCAGCGCTTGTGACAATTTCATCCTGAGAAAATAATTTTCAGAATTATCTAAGTGATAGAGGAGCACAAGAAATTTGAAGGTGTCATTCCTAAGGGATATGCCTGTATATTACACTACAGGTACAATGGAAATGTTCGTGTGAGCTCTACAAGAACTCACTCAGGTAGTGATAGTGATACTGCTGTAATGCAACAGAATTCTGCCTGCCTGTTCTCCCAGCTTTTTAGCAGGATTAATTAATGTGGAAGGAGTACCATAGTTACATGTTTCTGGTATTCCCATATTGTGGATTGCTTCATTTGTATGGGCAGTTGTCTGTCATGTCCACTGGTACTGCTTAATTGAAAATGTCACAGTTTTTTTTGAACCACAGAGAAAGCTGACCACCGAAACTGCAGATGATGGTGGTGTGTGCATGCTAGGAAGAATGCTTTCTTTTTTAAAATCTGTGTTACAGTACAGTAGACGAAAAAGTCCTTATTCAAAGCTGTAGACTCTTGAACATCTTTGCAAGCAACCGCCTAAAGTTACACATATAGTCTGTATACTTAAGTGGAAGGCTAGGAAAATGCTCTCTGTCTTTCTGCAGACTTCTGAAAAAATGCTTCATTTTCTTTCCAAATATTTCGACCTGTTTGTTTGTTTGGTTTTTTTTCTTCTTCCCTCAGGCAATGTGGCTTTGTAAACATTTGGATGCCATATGTATCTCTCAGGAGACTTTGTTGTTCAAGGAAATATTAGCGCTGACAAAGGAAGCAAAGGCATATAAAGAAAGAAAACAGGTGTGTAAGCGGATATAATAATAGTAGTTCTCATGTCACAGAAGAGGAATTATATGGCATTCCCACGTTATGACTTGAGCAGATCAGAGTAAATATTCTTATATCTATGGTGGTTTGTACATTGGTTTGTGTATATGTAAGTACAGGGCCTTTCAGAGAAGAAGGGTAACATCTACTAGAAAAGAAGATATGAACAAAGAAAAAATGTGTCAGGGCATAGAATAGGGGCAGGAGAGGACGACAATGTAAAGTAATGGAGGTCTTGAAAATATTAACCTTGGCCATGAGTGACAGAATTGAAAGAAGTCCAGGTATGCATGATCCAATGTAAAAAATGGTTCATTATATCATTAAACAAACTGTCTTCTATTTCAGCATGTCTGATAATCTTAATAAAATAAACATTAATCTTTAAGGTCTCCTTTGGTACAAAATGGTCTGGAAAATATGTACCCAAAAAACTTTTTTTTATTTGATAGTGCTACTTAGTTGTACATGCTTGATTTTGCTGTAGCATGACACAAATAACTTGGTGCATTAACTCAAAAGGAGTAAGACTTAAAAGGAGTCAGTTACTGAAAATCCTAGAAGCTCTCAAGCTGAGGCAATAGCAGCCGACTCAGGAGATTGTTCAGTTCTTTGGTTGATGTACTTTACCCAACTCTGAGTACCTGAATTGTTCCAGACAGGTTTTTAAATCCATGCTTCATTGTGGGCCTCCTAATTAATGCCCAACGAATGGCGTTCCTCATGGGTCAGTATTGGGACCGGTGCTGATTAACATCTTTGTGGGCAACATGGACAGTGGGATTGAGTGCACCCTCAGCAAGCTTGCAGATGATACCAAGCTGTGCAGTGCGGTTGACATGCTGGAGGGAAGGGATGCCACCCAGAGGGACCTGGACAGGCTTGCGAGGTGGGCCCATGCGAACCTCATGAAGTTCAACAAGGCCAAGTGCCAGGCCTGCACGTGAGTCAGGGCATTCCCAAGCATGAATGCAGGCTGGGTGGAGAATGGATTGAGAGCAGCCCTGAGGAGAAGGACTTTGGGGTGTTGGTTGATGAGAAGCTCAGCATGACCCAGCAATGTGCACTCACAGCCCAGAAAGCCAACTGCATCCTGGGCTGCAGCATGGCCAGCAGGTCAAGGGAGGCAATTCTGCCCCTCTACTCTGCACTGGTGAGAGCCCACCTGCAGGCCCCAGAGATGATCCAAGGGCTGGAGCACCTCTGCTATGAGGACAGGCTGAGAGAGTTGGGGTTGTTCAGCCTGGAGAAGAGAAGGCTCTGGGGAGACCTTAGGACTTCCAGTACCTAAAGGGGCTACAGGAAAGATGGGGAAGGACTCTTTATCAGGGAGTGTAGTGACAGGATGAGGGGTAATGGTTTTTAACTGAAAGAGGGGAGATTTAGGAATAAATTCTTTACTCTGAGGTTGGAGAGCCCCTGACCCATGTTGCCCAGAGAAGCTGTGGCTGCCCCATCCCTGGAGGGGTTCAAGGCCAGGTTGGACGGGGCTTTGAGCAACCTGGTCTGGTGGGAGGTGGCCCTGCCCAGGGCAGGGGGGTGGGACTGGATGGGCTTTAAGGTCCCTTCCAACCCAAACCATTCTATGATTCAAAAGAGTTGGTCTGAAGAACATTTTTTCCAGATGTCATGACTCACAGGATTAGTTGATCAGCAATGTAGTCTTGTTATTAAAGGCTAGTGAGAAGTGGATCAGAAAAATATGTTGAAAGAGTATCCTGAATACAAAGAAGATTCTGTGCTTCTGATCCCTGCCCTTTTAGCTGATTCCTTTCTCTAGATGTCAGTGTTCCATGAGTAATAGAATGGAGGAAGACTGGTTTTCTGTGACTCTCTCTGGCAAGTCCGCTAGTTTGAGTTTATCTTTTCTCACTTGTCACCTATTGTCATAAAAATTGGAGCAATTTCATATCTGTGAGAATTCTACACCACTGCTAAATTTCACTGGAATTGGTCAACAGATTCATAATTTGCTGAGACGATAGATGGTGTGATATATAGAAAATTAGGCTGAAAATAGGGTAGTGTTTATTACACTGAATTAGTGAGTGAAGTCTGGAGATGCCTTAAGTAATATACTTAAAAATCTGAGAGGAAAGAGTTCATTGAACTCACTGAACTTATGGCAAAAAGGTTTGCTTTTGGCTGGAATGATATAAAGTGATTCTTATTGAGAATATGTACTTTGAAATCTTCATGCTAATTATTAAAGATTGTTTTGCTAGGTTCATAAATTTCAACTTGGAGGGGGAGAATTTAAAGCAAAAATTCCCTTTGGTTTAATTACTGTAATTATTAACATATTTCAGACTATACAGATGCACTTTCAAGGGTGTCCTTTTGGGCTTATTTGGTTTAAAAAGTTGGATGGTGTGGAAGATGAAAGTCAAAAATGTCAAGGCTAATCAGGTAGTAAGGAGTGCCCGAAGAGCAGAATCTGGTGGTGGTTTAGTACTGTGCTGTTTGCCTTTGAGATGTTAGATCCTAGAAGAATGTTTTCACTAAATCATTTCTTTTGTTCTTTTAGATGAGTTTGATCCTTCAAATGTAACTGCTAAAACTAGGAGGGAACTCCTCTAAAATCAATGCAAACTTTACAATGACTTTACAATGCCAAATTGTTATCTCGAGCTATGTTTTCCCTTACTGATTTGTGTCTGCTGGCTAAACCGACTGTTGTTGTAACTGACCCCAGGTTCTGCTGAAGCAAGTGGTAAACTTGACTCCTCCAGCATACATAACATCCATTAGCACTAATAGGGTTTGAATGTCTATTCGGGAACAGAACAATAGCTGTTTATACTGTCTTTGATACAACCAGGGCATTAAAAAGTTGTAGTCCTGGCCAAAGCAATTTAATAAATGGAAAGAGGAAAAGCAGGAACTAAGATTGTGTTTTTGAAAGTCTGGTGTGAAGATCATATAACGCAATTTAATGTTGTTAGAGGAACGTTTCATGCGTATAAAGTTACTGTGGCTAAATTAACCCCAGTGCCAAAGGTCATTCATTTTTAGGTCAGTAAGCCAATGTTACTAGATCTGGGCAAACGCTGCAAAAAGGTCTGCAAATGTTTGTTCGCATATTTTTACTTTCTTATCTTTAGCCAAGCTTTCATCTCTTTTGTGTTGGCTTCCAGTGAACATTAAAGCGCTTGAGTTTTCCTGGCACAAGAATTCATGGAAGTTGTATTTAAAATACGTGATTATTCTCCAAAGCTCAATTTTTAAAGTTGGACATGCAATCGTTCACTAACGCACACCTGGCCACTTACTAATGAGCACAGCTCAGGTAGTGAATTTTAAATATTGACCCTTCAAAGCAAAATGTGATCATTCTGTATGTAAAAATATTCCAAAAAGAAGTCAAATATTTTTGAATACTCAATACATTTGAAGAACCATGAGCTATCAATAAATATTCCATGAACAGAAAAAGAGGCTACATTTTTGGATAAATCATTGCAAATTATTCCCTCATCTCTAGTTATTATAATCTTAATAGGAAGCACCTTCAGGTTTTTCCTATAGTGAAGTCTAATGATGAGCTGTTGCATGTTTCACTTTTCCTGTTAACTGGATAAAATAAGAAGTTGAAACAACTGTGGTAATTGTGGGCTTATGCGATGGGTGTGCTCTTAATGCTATACTAAATTGCAGTTAAGGTGTTTGCATACTATGTAATGATTTAAAACTACTCTACAGTTGCATCGTATCCCTGTGCTTTTTAAGAAGAAATATAATAGAAGAGTGGAAGACCAAAAGAATCCTTATCTATGCACGTTCAGTGTTCTAATCTATTTCAGGACAAGCCACTAGGAAGGAACAAATAGGAACTGTTCCAGTCTTGTGTATATGTTAAAAAAACAAAACAAAACAAAACCCAAACCAAAAAAACCACAACACAACTGAAAAACCAACAACAAAATAAACCAGCCTTTCACATGTATTTATCTGAACAAGTAAAATCTAAACCCTCATCATTATCAAAATACTAAACCCACTTTCTTGAAACTTGACTGCTTTTCTCTCTGAGGTGCAAACTATAAAGCAAACGAAGTCAGAAGTTTTTAGCTGCAACTGTTTTCAAGACAAATATATCCAAAACTTCCAAAGGAAATGTCTAGGGAAAGTGCTTCCCCCATCCCGGCAACAAAAAGTGTGGCAGTTTTATGAAAAGATTGCAAAAACGTAACTCTGAGTAGATCAGGCATGTAAGATGAAATGTGATGTCCCTGAAATAATATGGAATGTTTAAAATTTATCAGGAATGAGTACAGATTTTCAGCACTACAGAAATAGTGATTAAACCAGTGTGTATAGAAAAGTGGTCTGAACGTAAACTACTGTGGCTTTTGGAAGGTTTAACGTTCAAGCAGCAGGTCTTTCCATTAGCTAAACTGGAGATTGGGACAGGCTCAGAGTGCCTTAGATAAGATACTGTGGTTATCAAATGTGTGTGTGTCATTGTCTGTTATTGCAGATTCCTGGCAGGTGAAGTCCCATCTAGCAGGCTCATATATTTATGTGTTTATGAGAGAAATTATAAATGTACTATCTGATATGAATAAAATGTAATGATTTCTAGTTGAATAATTAGGCATTGTACAAGGAACCTATTGAAAACGATTTTGTAGGCCACTACTCAGTGGGAGGAAAACCAACCAGGAAATGAGACTGGAATCGAGCCACAGCGAGCAGAAGGAACTAAACCACTGAAATACCCGCATGTGTGTCCTTGATTATTTTTGTGCACTAAACCCTGCTCAAAAGAGAGGACTTAAGAATACCACTGCACTGAAAGAAGTTAGTATAATTTTGGTTTAAATTGGTTTGGCAGGGCTTAGCAGAGTGGACCCCCGGCAGTTGCTATCCTGTCTTGACATGACACATCAAAGGAGTAAGCAAGACGCTAGCTGTTTCTGATAGCAGCGTGATGCACCTTTGGAAGGTGACAGACTCAAAGCCACAGACCCAGCTCCAGCAGCGTGAGGCTGCAGGAGGCTTTGACGCACCACCCTATGGGACCTGCTGACTTTCAAGAAACACAGCAATTTCTTTCCCTTTTTCTCTTTTACCTGCTTGAATGTTGCCTTATGAATGGCTGATATTAGGAAAGGCACTGAGAACGGGGGACAGTAGAGATAAACAAAATAAGAAAACCCACTGCCTGACTGGGCCACCTTGTCCACTCCACAGCTAGCCAAGGACTGGTCTGTTTTGTGTATTCTGGAGCGCTTGCTCCATGCTACTTTAAAGTGACTTTTGTGGTAGCGTTTCCACCGCTCCTGGTGAAATTGTTGCATGATCTAATGAAGCAGATTGTTATGAAATCTTTCCGCATAGTTAGTCACATTTTCATTATGTCTATCCATATTCTGTAGTATAGCGTAAGCCTACAGAAATATTATTTTTTTTTATGATTATGCCCTTCAGACTGGTTAGAAAAAGAGATGGGAACCTGCAATGTATAGACCAGTGTGAAACAGAGTCAAGCTCACATTGTTAAGTGCAAGATCATTTTTTTGAGTTAGGAGGTAGAGGATCTGACTGCAGAATTTTTTTCTGAGGAGTCATTTTACCAGTAATGACAAAATGAATGAGACTGAGACAAGGCATTTAGTCAGATCATTAACAGCTGCTCTGGCTGGCACGGCCAAAGGTTCAGACTTTCTCAAGTTTGACTGCCTGATGTAAAGTTTGTTCAACAAAGTTCAGCATAGCGTGAAGACCGACGTTACCAACATAGTGAAGAAAATTCTTACAAGAAGGAAAGAAGGGTATTGTTAATTTCTTGTCAGGAAATCTAATATAATAATGGAAGAAATATAAGGAGGGAAAAATGCTGAATCTGTAGAGGAACTTTGTTCTTCTGTCAGATAGAAAATACTGTCGTACAAAACATTTCTAGATATGGGCAAAGTAATAGTCACAGAAAGTAACAGCACTTCTGAAAATCTCGGCACGTGGAGTTTCAATCCCATTTCGTGGTTCTGAGTTTAAAAATAAACTAAATTTAACATTAAAATTAACAGTAAAATGTTCTTTAAACTTTCTGGATGATGAAAGAGTGAGAGTTACTTAATACTATGAAACAAATCTGAAAATCAGACTCTTATTTTTTCTGTTTGAGATTTAGCTTGTTTCACAGGATAGCTGTTAAGATCACTAATGGTGAGTCCACTAACGTATGAAAGAGCAGTGGGTCAGATACTTGTGATAAAAAGGACTACTTTTCAATGTGATGTTCTTATGGATCCCTTTGCAGGTTTGATGCTCAACGTGTGTGTTAGTGTGCAAAACCTGGCACCGCTTCCATTAGTGTGCAAAAAGCATGGATGTAGCCTTTGTGTTCAGCTTACCTTTACCACTGATTTTTGTGCCCTTATTAACTCTCTGATATATTATGTTAATGACTTGAGACTTGCACAGATTGATTTATTTATTTATTTTTAAGAAGACATCTCAGTTCACCTTTAACCGGAATATGCCTGCATGGTAAAATTCCTTTTGAACTCAATTGTGAATATTCAGCCTTTTTTTGTTCTTTCTTTAGAAAATTCCCAACGCGCTTTGGGCCAATCTGATCCAGGAACGTCTGTCAAACGTGGACTGCATCAAACAAGTAAGAATTGCTCCTCAGAGGGCCAGTGGATAAGCACTTACACAACTCGTGCATAGTAGTTAGCATTCTGAGTCCTGAGCAGAGGAGGGAATGGGGGCAAATCATTGGGGGCTCTGGAGCGGATTGCTTTCTTGAACATCAGCAGAGGGAGTTTGGAGCTTTATTAACAGGATAAAGGGGAGGATGAGAGTATGCATATGCTAATCTTCTAGCACAGAGATGATCAAAGGCTGAACAAGCATAGCTTTGTTGATTGCCTGGGGCAACTGGCAGAGTTATAGTGGACAAAACAGATAAACAGAAAATATATAAAAATCAATATGTTGAGTTAAGATTTTAACTCTTACTGAAGAAAGGGGGAAGAAAGAGTCTAATATTCCTTATATCAATTTTCTTTATTTCTCATTGTGTCTTTTTTCTTCCTGTGTTAGGAAAAACTGCATTTGAATATATACTCTTCTAGGTAATAATTAATATGTTCAGTGTTAGTTTACACAAATAGGCAACTGAATAGGTTTAGCTGTATTCATAGATGTGTAGCTTCCCCTCTCCCCCCCCCCCCCCCCCCCGTATGCTTAGCCTTAATGTAAGTAGAGACTTTTAATATAGAACCAAAAGGGAACTTAAGTAGATTAATACTGGTTGAAATGAATGTCTGGACTCGAGGAAAATCAAAATCTCTTTTATTTGTTGCCTTTAAAATCTCAGATGTTGTTATGGTTTATTGAGTCCATAGTCAGCCCATTATAAGGGATTATTTGTAAGAGACATACAAATCTAATGGATAAAACTCTGTTTCTGAACAGTGCCACAATATGGACGGCACACTATTTGATGCACTTCTTGAGAGGAAAAAGTCCATAGCGCAAAGTAGGTGGACATTCATAAAGGACTAAACTTTTTTCAGATAAACAGTACATGTTTTCAGAACCCTCTGTCACACCCACACCTTTGGGTCGGGGGGTAACTAGTACTTCCGGACCTCGTAGAGATATTGCAAGGCTCATAGTTTTATGTAAATCTGTTCCTTCTCAACATCATCATCTACTTTGTTGGCTGAATAAAGCAGGGCTGGTAATTAACATTTCATTGAAGTGTGAAAATCGTTTCCTCAAGCTTCTTAGCATTAGGCACTGAAAAAAAAATGGAAATGCTGAAAACCTTGTCCTGTACTTCTTTCTCTGTCTCCGTGATTGTTGATGGAATCTGCAATGATCTGCAGACTGGGTCCTTCCATCCATGTAAAACAAAATCATCTTGGGGGCTGGGTCATTGCATTGTAGTTAAGATGGTAATTCTGTAGCGCAGAGGTGCAGAGAAACGTCAACAAAACTAGAAGAATTTTTTAAAAAATTTCTGCCTCAATTGACGGTTTCTGCTTTTGGAACTCAGATAATGTAAATGATTATCAAGAAGTCTTCATGTGCGTCAGTGCAAGTCAAGTATCTTAGCTTAAGGCACTGATGGAAGTGGCTTTCAACAGACCTGCCTTGTGTAAAATAGATCAGACGGTCAGTTACAGTGTATGAACTGTGGAAAGGATAACTTGATCAGGAGGGTAATGAATAGCTGAGTTGTAATCTCTTAAATTGCTCTTGCCTGACAGGTTTGCTAGAGGACATCTGTCTGAGTCATATTTCTGTTGCAAGCATTTAGCTGTAGCAAAATAGGGAGTATGCTGCTCTCTTTAAGCAATAGCTTAGAACCAGCAATAGCTAAACTTTGACCTATCCCATTATCTCATCCAGTGGTTGCAAGAGAATTTAATTTAGAATGCTACCTGCTGGTGTTTAATGTTACCAAGAAAGTCATTAAGCTAAAATAAACCTTTCGTTGCCCAGCTAATCTTGTTCTTTTCTCACATCATAGAAGAGTGCATGGCAGTGTCCTTATTTGCATGACAGAGCCCTTATTTGTCTAGGGAAGTGTCTTGCTGTAAAAGTCCTTCCTTTTACATCAGTGGAGAAAGGCCTGAAGGAGTAAAAATAAGTTAAGGTGGGTGATTTTTGAACATGTCATTGCATTTTTAGCTAAATCCAGGTTTAACAAGAGACTTACTGTAACAAAAATCTGAGGTGCATTATTGGCTGCCATAGATATTTACAAATGACAGTATAGGATGACTGCTCCTTCAAAGAAATGTGAGCAGTTGTTTTTATGAAGGGAAATTAATGAAACAGAAACCTAGCTCATCTCTAAATTAATCTAGATTTATACCAGGTATCAATGCCATTGACATTCATGGGGTTGAATTCTTGCAGCTTTGGAGTAACATAGTGGTGGGTTGAACCCTGTGCTTTTAAACTACACCAGTATTTGTTTTCATGGGGAATTATCAAGATGTTAGCATTTAAAATGTACTGACAACTTTAAACTGCTAAGTGTGGATTTTTCTGATACCCACTCCTGCCTTCTTTCCACTTACTGTGAACTAATAAAATCTACTTCGCCATGCAGATAAGACACAGATTTTAGGCAAAATGCACACAAGCTCTTACTTTCTTCCTAAACCTTGTTGTTGTTTCTCTTTGGATCCCCCTCCTACACTGGTATGATCGAGGCCTGGGAAGACTGTAGAAGAATTTTCTAATTCATTATGTATACGGACATGACCCCCTCCCTTTCTTTTCCAAATGGACCAGGGTTTTTTTGTGTTTGAGAGTCCTGTGTTTCTTGCTCCATGCTTCATCATCTGGGAGATTGAAACAATGATTTTTGGATCCTTAGAAAGAAAGGAGTAAAGAGTTTGGCAGAAAACCTAAGGCTTATCAAAACCTAAGGCTGTACAAAATACTGTACACCTTACTCCATAATTGATCTGTTAATTTTGAATTTGAAAAGTAGTATCAAACTTTTGCATTCCTAGTCACTGGGCTTGAATTATATAGGTCTGCCCGGTTTCTCTTGAAGGTCTTTTTAGCTGAGCTATTTTATTTATGTATTATTTAGCAATCCAGATCAAATATCTGGTAGTATTTAATGAATTTGTTTGTCTGTATTAAATCCACACAGGACTTAGGCCTTTCAATTTGCAGGAGAACCTTTTTAAACGCATGCATGTGGTGTATCATCTTGTGCATTTTTGTGGCATTTCAAATTAAGAAGTGAGCTGAGGAACACTTGAGAAACCAATATTGTCAGCTCTGGATATACTAGCAAATGAGCAGCAAAAAAAAACTATGAATGTCAACATTTTTTATGTAAGCAGTGCAATGAGATATCATGGATATACAGCGAGTCAGGTGATTGTATGATTTACTACCTTGTCCTTGTGGCAAGATGTGAACATCTATCCTAAGTGAAACTTCTCCTCTAGTGAGTATGTTTAAAGTATTTTTAAACCTGTAGAAATGAAAGTTAGAAAGATGATAAACCCAAGAGAGAAACGGCTCTTCTGTGTGCTAACTGCCGGGCTTTAGGCTGGTTTCAGCCCCCAAACACAGTCCCCCCCTCAGCTTAACGCTGCCAGCTTCTCTGGTTGTCCTGCTACTAGTTAGCAGGTAGGTAAGTGCCCGGGTATCCCTGGTATTTTCAGTAGTTTTGGTTAAATATTTTCTCACATGATCTCTCGAAGGTGGTAGTTGCTGGGGCCACTGTCCTCTAACGCAATCTGGAGTAGAGCTGTTGGATGGCAGTAGTTGCTGTAAACTAGCGAGTAGGTGAATAACTCTTCAGATTAGGGCTTTTATAACAGTAGCTCTAAAACCTCTCCAACATGCTTATTTTTTTTCACCTAAGTCTCCTTGCCTGGTTAAAAGAAGGTAGGATTTCAACAGCTTATTTTTCCAGTGTTGAGATATTGTTAAAGTGAGTTTTCCTAACCATCAGTGTGTAAGCAAAATCCGTTGCTCTCCAAAGGCTGCATCTGCATCCACCCTGTGCTTTATTTTGCCCTGTGCTTTCTATAATTGTTGACATGGTTCTAGTTCTCCTTTTAATAGTGAGGGAAGAATCTTTCAGTGACTGTTATTTTAAGTATTAGGTCATGTAAACTCTGAGTAAGGTAACGAGATGGTTAAAATGCCAACAGCTGCATGGTGTCCTGCCTACATTTTACGTTCCTGTTGTTATCATCACCAGCAACACTGAATCAGTGCTGGATGTGTTAACAGAACTGGGGGGGGGAAACCCTTTATAAAGCTTCCCTAATGTTCAGCAAGAATGGAGTGGATGTTATTGGTCCTGTTAAGGTTTCAGCTATTTTTAGGAAAAACACTTAATTGACTTTTCAAAGTTGTGATGGTTATTAAAAATCTTTTATTTAAAAGTAATTCATGGTCACTAAACTTCCTCACATTGTGTATGTCTTCTCCATTTGAAAGGGGATCTATGCACTTTAATTGCAGTATTTTCCTTATGTCATTGCAAATAGAATAAACACTGTGGATTTTGTACTTCATTGAACAGATTTATGCCATTTCTCTCATAGCATGAGTCAGCATTTTTTTTTGGAAAATGTTAATAGATTAGGAGCTGTAAGTTGGACCATAGTACCACCAGCTGTTTGTTTTATTTCTCCTTGTGGTGTCATTGGCTTGGCATTAATTGTACAGCTTTCATCCCACTGACAGTAGGAATACAGAAATTTTTGTGCCATTGTTTTGACACTCACGGGTTTATAGATGTCACAGGCATTCTCTAAGGAGAACATTTTTATTGATCAACAGCTCTGCTGAGACTCTGTGTTGTGTGTTCTTCTAATACAAATGTAGTTAGGACTGCAAGGGATCAGACAGGTAGGTCTTCCAGCATAGGCAGAAAACTTATTGCAAGCATTATGTTAGAACCTGAGTCTTGTGAAGCTGATATGAAGACTTTTCATCTTACAGGGTTAGTACGTGTTGGCTACGGCACCTCTGACTGCTGTTGTTGTGGAGGGAATTTATAGAACTGGGGAAAGCTAGTGAAGAGATTGCTACATGATGAAACTGTGGGAGCGCGAGCTGAGCAGCCTCACTCACATCTTAGGGCCATTTAGAAACTACGCTTAGGCCAGTGATTCACATCAGTAGTGGCAGAATTACTTTTGATTGGTATTAAACGGTTCAGAAGGGTCGTGGCTATCCTTGAAAGGGAAGCGAAAGAGAACAACAGCTGTTGGTTCTTTCTGGTTTTACCTTGGCAGATAAAGATCATCATGTTGTCTCTGTGAAACTGTGTGCAAGGATAGTGACATTACATAGGTTTATCTGGGGAGAGAATCTGCCTATTCACCATCTTTTGTTGTTTTCCAAAAAGAATGGGGCTTTTTTTTTTTTTTTATAGCTTTGCAGCTTACACAACCTACAAAAATAATGTGGGGAATAAAAGATTTCTTTCTAATGGGAAATTTGGTTAAGTTGGAACAGCATCATCCATGCTGGTAACGTTGATGGACTGCAGCAGTTGGGTTGACAATATTTCTACTGCACTCCTCAGACTGCTGTTTTCTGAAAATGCCAGAAATTTTAGATCCATCCTGGCAAAGCTATTACTGAAATCCCTTTTTTGCATTATTGTCTGTCCCCTTTCTTCACATGGGAGTGAAAAGCATGTAATATGTTTTCAAAAATACTGAACGGTGATGTGGAAAAACTGTTGTGATAAGCCATTTTCCTCTAGGCAGCAGTATTTGATTTCTATGCTTGTGGCTGAGATTTCTTTCAGATGTGCCCACGTAATTCAGCATTATTTCTTTGTGCTATCCCTTTTCATTATTCCATGTCAAGTTTGGATTCTGTAATTTAAAGAAAAATAAATTCAGACTGTGCAGGTCAAATAACAAGAGAGAACCAAATACCTAAGTCATTATTACGGGGGTGGAAAGTGTGAAAATATGTAGGCTTGGTATTATAGCTGAGAGTAGTGGCAGCAAAGGAATGAGATTTACATTTGGCAATGACCTTGAGCATTTCATTTTCTCCAGATTCCTTAAATCTGGAGAGGAAAGTGATGGCTTTGAAAGTACTTCCTTGTTGCTGACTTTCGGCATGGCATGAGTCTCCAAGGAGCACTTCACCTGGCATTAAGGCAACAGCAGAATGGTGTTTTTACAGCAGTCTTCATGTGGGCAAGGATTGAGGTTTCCAGCTGAAAGAGAGGGAACAGTGACCACAGAGCAAAGGCACTGTGGAATTACTCACTTTTAGCCTTTGTTCTACCCTTGATGTGATACGGTGCAATCCATGCAAGGATGTAAGGTTACTGCTATCAAGAACAAAAAATAGATGGCTTCTTAAAGAAACAAATTTACCATGTGAAGTTACTAATTACACTTTAATGATAGTCAGGAGGGCAAAAAAGACCAGTGTTTGCATAAAGCATGATAGGCATATTTTAAGTCAGGTCTTGCTCTGCTGTGTCTTGCTTCCTCTTGCTTCGTTCCCAAGCCACACTCCCTTTTTACTCTTTTTTTTTTTTTTTTTTTTTAATCTGTGACATCTGCTTGGAGCTTGTCCCTCCTGTGATACCATACTACTTGCAGCTGTTCAGACCTCCAGCTCTGAGCTGTGCATGGGGTGCCCTGAGCATACGGCCTTTTTGATGTGTGATAAAACAGAACCAAGCCACTGGGGGTATGGAGAGGGAATGCAGCAGAATATCAATAAACCTGTTCTGAACAAAGCTGCAGCTCTGTGGTGGAATAGACATTTCACTGAAGTGTCAAGTAGATGGATAATGTATTCTAATTAGGGACTGACTGATACCCTGGAACTCAGAGACCTTTGGAAATAAGATCCAAAATGCTAACTATTTTTGTAGTGTGTATTTTGCATTCATTTAATGCAAAATGTATTTGTTGCAGGAAGCTGTTTATTGAGCTATGTTTACTTACATTGAAAAAACTTTTAGGTATAAAATTGCTTATTGCCTGTTTTAAGGACCTTTGAAATTTGTATGTAAACCTCTTGAAGTTTGCTATACATTGTTAAAAAAACAATATTCTGTATTAACTGTCTGTTGCTATTTGTGTGATTTTGAGCAGTAAGCTGTATTGACATCAGAAGCAATGGTTTTGTGGGGTGGGTTTTTTTGTTTGTTTTGTTTTAGTTTCCAAAAGTAGTGCACGTGGAGTGGAGGAAATGATCCAGATTTGTAGTCTCTGTAAATTGGCTTAGATTTATTAGCTTCGGACCTCTGATGCCATTTCCCCCTAGAAGAGGATCTGGGCCTATATATATGCTGTACGAGCCAAGTATATTCAGAACTAGTGTTGAAGTTCCTAGCGTACCACTAAAAATATGGTGCAGCTTGCCTTCTGCAAGTCCCGAGGGATAAATTGATTTCTCAGCACCTGTGTGACCTTAGACAGCGGTTCATTCTAATTCGATAGAGCAAACACTGGGAGTGGCAAAAATGGCTTGCAGTTACTTGAGTCTCTTATTTTCTACAGATATCAGCAGGATGACATGTTCCTGAAACCAGGCTAATTAAGGAATTTTAAATAGTCTACTCTATTTTCTTGTATAATTGGAATGTCCCAATTTCCTCCTACAGAAGTCATGGAGATACGTTTCCCTGAAATACTTCTAAAACCTTTGGACCCCATACTGACAGAGCTTCAAATTTATGTGGGAGATGATAATGATTGCTAGCTAATGCAATATTAAAATATCTTCTTCATTTCAATACAGAGATGGTTTTCAGGTTTACTGTAGTATCACAAAGTTGTTTTGCGATATAGGATATAGTGACAAGGACACGTGTGGTTAAGCAACTTGCAGATAAATTAGAGAAAGTTTAGAAGATTCAGACCCGAGACTGGGAAGTGGATTAGATTTGAAATACTGCATCACACAGAAACTGAGTGAGGCTGCAGCTCTCCTACGGTATTTCACAGATCTGTAAATGTTTTTTTAAAGATGCTCAATCCAACACTTAGCTGGCTATAACAAGGACTTAAGGGAGCAAAAGGCTCTTTTTTCTTTTTTCTTTCTTTTGCTCTGTTGCTTCATTAGCTTTGGGAATGCTGGTTCCATTACTGTGAGTTTTCCTGTATAATTTAAGAAAATAATGAAAGCATGCATATTTTCCTCAGTGTTCTTGGCATTAAATCTGTCTTCAGATTTGTTTAGCCTCTTTTTTTATACACAGTGTGGGCTGGTATCCTTTTGAATATTTCAAAACTGTAGAAATTGTTTTGGGTTGTTTTTATTCAAGATAGAAGTTTCTTTTCTTTTTTAAGATTAAAACATAAAAAAAATCGTTGCTATAATACATAAGTTGCTATTGCTCTGTGGCAGTGGTATGAGTGCATGCCGTTTCACAAAAATATCAGTGCTCCATGTTTGCTTTCTTCTCTCACAATCATCCATAGCAAATACTGTGCTGTTGTTAGATCAGAATGAGGTAATTTTTGTGCAGATAGCGCTGATATTTAGTGCTGATTTTTGTTTTTTTCTCTTCCAGGATCAATAACTGTTTCATGTTTTTGTTCAATAGGGGTGGATTTTGGAAGGCTTCCCTGAAAATCAGGAACAGGCATGGATGCTGCAATCATCTGGCATCATTCCTAGGCACGTTGGTAAGCAGTACAAGGTCTGTGTGTGATTGCATCCAGTAGAAAAGACTAGAAGTGTTTCTCCCCCAAAATCCTCAATAAATTCAATACCAATACTGAAGACACCGGAGTCACCAGACGGCAGAATATTTAAGTACGGTTCAGATTCACTCAAAAACTTGAAGTAACCTGTGAGACTTTAAACCCTGTCTTTCACACATGAACCCTTTTCTTTTTACACCTTAGAGCTCTGTAAATTCAGGACCACTCCACCAAGTGTCTCTGAGCAGCTATATGTAGCTTTGCTTCTGTTCTAGGAGCGGGTCTAAGTTTTCTCTGACTTCCATTTCTAGAAATCAGCCTTTGTCCTCAGACCAAAACAATTCCTCATGTACTAAATACAAATTCATCCTTCTGTTGAATTAGAGAATGCAAACTTAGCAAACTTTACTCCACTAAGTGAAGTGGAAACATGATTTTAAGCTTGACCTTTCAGAACGTGGGTGGATTCTGACTTGATTTGAGAGGAACATTTATTTACTGGCAAGTGCTCATAGACAGGACCTTGACGGTTGCCCTTGCCATCTAGAAGCAGCCAGTTGTCCCAAATTCATATAGTTAGAGGACCTACTTAGAATATAAGAAATCATTGTGATTGTGTGGAATACAGTGTAAAATTATAAATGTAGAGCTTGCCAGTGAACAGAATGTTAGCAAACTTGATGGATTGTCACTTTGGATTTGATTTGGATGAAATATGACTGCTAATGAAGAATTCAGAATAGGTCCAATAGAGTTAGGCAAAAATGTTTAATGTCTAGTACTTGCATGTATTTTTAATGTAGCTAATAACATCTGAAGTTGAGTTTTGCTCACAATTATATCCGTGCAACCAAGACCTGAATGAGAATCATAAAGCTCAGTCTGTCTAGTTAATCAAAAAGAAGATTGAGAGGAGATGAGATTTACAGTGTACGAGTACCTTAATAGGGAGAAAAGCATCTGAAAGAGCTATTTGATACAGAGAAGAAAGTCATAAGAAGAACTTGTTTGAAACCTGTAATCAAATGCACTGAAAACAGTAATTAAATTACAGTGTTTAACTGTGAGGATGATTAGCCAAAAGCAACCTAGAGAACTGACAGATTCTCTATCTTTTGATGCTTTCTAATCAAGTCTGAACACTTTTCTGCGAGGTTATCAAAAACTAAGTTTCACTGGTCTCACTACCAAAGTACCTGGGTGGAAAGTAATTGTTTGTGGTATAGAAGAGAATTAGTCTCGAGTGATCTGTGGGTACTTCCATCCTAGGCTCCAGATACGATGTAATTGAGGGGGAACCTTGTTAGTTGGTATGGATGACAAGGACAGCTAGTAGTCATGGGTTCTGGACTGGATTAATGTATATTTTATCCCACTATACTGTTTAGGATGTGGAGCAAAATTCTAATTAAAAGTGATGAAAATTATTTGCAGTTAGAATACTGGGAAAGGAGAATGAGGCAAATGTGCTTGAAATACATTCATCCATCTTTAATACTAGGATACATCTAAACAATTACAGGAAATAAAGCAAGTAATAACAAGAGCTACACTTTTTTATTTTTTCTTCTTTTTTTTTTCTTTTTTTTTTTCGTGCCTAGTTGTGCTTTATGCTCCAGACACTGTGCTGATTGAGAGGAACAGTGGGAAAAGACTTGATCCCTTCACAGAAGGTGCAGTATGTGTTTTTTCATATCTCCACTAGAAACTGGAGTGTTGCTTGGTCTCAGAAACATTGTAATACTAGTGGGATTAAAATTTAAATGGTATCCCTGTAAGAACTAGTAGGAATTTATAATTATAAATTTAAACTGTTTGGGAAAAGTATTTGTTGACATTGCATTATTTTCTGTGACAACAAAATATGGGAAAATGTAAAGCTTAGTATTGAGCCTGCAAAGAGTGGACCATGGCAGTACAGAATATTGGAAGGTTAGCTTACACTTTGGTATGCGTCTTTGCTAGATTCTGTTTTTTTCCTGAGGTGCAGGTATGCTCTTAGGTATCTTCCATTAAATGACTGTCAAATAGACCTAGCTGTGTATTGTCTGTTGAATATCATTATCAATCATCCATCACAAAATAAAATTCTGACATTCTTCAGTGAAAAAATTACGTTGACTGTTTTAGGAGTGGAATTAGCATGGACGTTCTTAACTAAAGAAACGGCTTTTATTTGCTATAGAGGAGATTTGCTTATCAAAGGTCTTGCTTAAGGTTCAGTCGAAGAATTTGGAGAGCTATCCCCAGTTCTGGTTCTTACACATCGTGCTGTCTTGGCTACATGTGTGGGCAGTTACCTTGTCCACTTCCTATCTGTGCACCTGCAGAGCGATAGCTCTCAGTACCAGTAGCGAGGGAAGTGCACAGGTTATTGCTTGTGCTGCAATAGAAAGCTTAAACAGAGACCTTGATTTTGTTTAGGAAAACTTTAGGAGCTCAGCAAGACCTATTAAATCATCCTCGTAGTTCCTAATCAGTGTCTGCCTTCTAGAGGTCTACCATACGACCTTTGACTGGCCAAGTGATCCGCTGGTACAGCAACGTTTGGTGAAACCAGAAGATCTATCTGAACAGGAGGTGTCAAAGAAACTGCTGGAGTATCACAGAAACTTCCCTGGGGTTTTCCAGATCTACCAAAAAGTTTTGAAATCAATCAATGCAGACCAGCCTTCCATGGATGTCCTCTCACAGGGTAAATACGTACCTTTATGGCAAATCTGATAGTTGATAAACTCTTACTTGAAAAGTAGTTCCTAGCTGTTCGAGTCAGTTTGTAGGGTTAGGATTAGTCAACACAGATGGCTCCCATCTGAGTTGTGTTCTCTCTAGTACAGCATTTGGGCTGTTCCCGGTCATTATTTTACAGGACTAGAGTAAGTGCAGATAACTGGAAAGTCTTAGTTCCACAGTCCTGCCAAGGAACAGCTGACTCAGTAGAGCAAATGTCACGGTTATTTCTGCGAGAGCCTCTTCTAAGAGGCTGCATTGTGGCTCAATTGTTAATCTCCCAAAGGGCTAGTACCTTCCACAAGGCTGATAACAAGAAGTAGGAGTAGTTCAAAGCTGGCAACATTTCATTATTTAAAAGCTGTTTGTGCTGGTAGCTTTTCTGTTCAACAATTCTTGGTTGCCTTTGCTTGACTGTAATGCAATCTGACTTTTAATGTTGATTCTTCAAGAAGAGAATAAGGAAACTGCCAGAAAGACCAATTGATAATGTACTTTGTAGCTGTCAGTCTGTAGATGATCTGTTATATCCCAGTAATTTTGCATCTCGAAAAGGTCTTTTTTTAATAACAAGTGCTGCACTTTTAAGATAAACAAGTAGGAAGTTTATATTCTGAATTTACACATTAATTACCTCTAAATTACTTAATTAAATTTAAAAGTTCATATCATCATTCATAAAGAATTCATGCCTTGAATTGTAAATAAAAATGTGAGTGCCTGAATATTAATTATTATTAATTAATAATGTAGTGAGATAAATTGAAAACTGGAATGAAAAAATCCTCTCTAGATCTTTTTTCTGCAGTGCATCAAGCAGCCAGATTTTTTTTTAAAGAATAATTAGATGTGGAGACTGTCTAGGGGATCATTACTCCTAATTAACTTGGTTATTTACTGCAAATTAAGCATCATTTGTAAGCAGGGTGCTTTGCCTGTAATGTTTGTGCTTTTCAATACACTGGGTTATGGAAAATGTTCAGAATAACTAGAGCACTCCTTGGGTAGCTAGTACTTATTTTTGAGGAGGTTATGCAGCAAACACACTATTTTCTTTTATGATTTTCCAGTTTTTTTGTTAAGTATTTTTATTGCTACAGGTAGAGTTAAAAAAGAAAGAGATCTCTCATCGATATTAGTATTATTGGTTCATACAATTCTAAAATTTTGTAAACTCTTAAACTTTAATGCAATTACTACTAACATATGAGAGGATATGTGACATCAAACTCAGTTGTGCAGTGTAGTATCCCAGCACAGCTTGTGGCCCTGGAGAAAGAGATGTCCACAATCCCTTGTGGTTGCAGTTTGCATTAGTTTCTCAATAGTTTAGGTTCACTAACTAGAAATAGCAGGGCTGGAGTACAGCTTGTGGCCCTGGAGAAAGAGATGGATATCTCTTGCTGGAGATGCTTCTTTATTACAAATAATTTTGTAATGATTCCAAAGTGTCTAGCAGAGTGTCCTCAGGAAAAATATTAGTTAGTATACAGTGATGTCTCAACAATGGTATTTAAATACCGATCCTTATGATGTTTTCAATCAATCCTTTTGTATTTTTTTTTAATATGGCTTATGATTCATACAAACATTAATGTCTAAGCCTGTCCTATTTGTTAGACCAAAATACCATTTATTACAAGGAGTCTTTCGTCTAGACACTCTTTTATTTGAACTGAAGATGTGTGGACTAACACTTAATTGTATCCATTGCAATTACAGAGGAAGTCAAAGCGTGTGTAGGTGTGCCCCTGCTGCTTTAATCATGGGTGACAGTGGCAGTCAGGATGTGGTGGCATGAACTTTAGCTTTGGCATTTGAATTTATGATCCCTGGAAAGCTTGCGTAGCTTGTGCTGAAGGTTGAGCTGCTCTTTTCACTAGCATTGTCAGCCATAGAAGGGGGATGGGGAGTAAGATTGTTTGGCTATGTCCAAACACGATCCAAATTTGTCCTCACTGCCAAGCTGTGTCTTCTTTTAGCTTCTGGGTGATGTATTGGGTTCTCTTTTGAGACTGTAACAAAGTTCAGATCTCTATAGTACAGCAATGTTGTTGATGCTTCACTTGTTCTGGGATCTTTCCAAAGCTCTTATAATCTGTAGATTGACCTGAATGTAATATTTCATATGCACTACAAAACGTAGAAGAATAATATCCAGCAAATAGAGTGCAATCAGAGAGAGAAGCTCAGATAACCTTTACATGTTATGCAAAAATGATGGACAAAAGAATAAAATTATTAAAAAATGAAAAAATAAAATTATACTCTATTCTCTGTTGTCAGTGCCATATTGTGTCGTGACATCCTGTGCTACCAGTGTATAATATTGTAATTAGGAGTCCATTAATCACACACACAGAGCTGGATAAATGTCATAGTAATTTAACATCCTGGGTTTTTACACTAAAATATTTGTTCAGAAACTGCAGAAAGTATTAAATGTAATTATATCCCTCTATAATTTGCATGGTAAAATTGTACCTATCAAGCCAAAAAAAAATCTTCTGCTCAAAACAATATGGTAAAAAAGCAATTATTAATTCAATCTGCTCTTTAAAATGGTTTGGCATCCACTGATGAAAGATAGTACAGGAGTGTAATGATCATAAGATTTCTCAAGTGCCTCTTAGTGTAAGTTCCTGACATGACAGTTTTATCAGAGTCCTGATTTTGGTTGGAGTATCTAGATGCTTCAGTGATAAAATAAAAGATGATCAAAATGACCCTTGAACAAAAGAAAGAAGTTAATAAATGTTTATTCTATTTTTTTTAGAGAAATAGGATATAAACTGTATTTCTTGCCTTTCTCTCATGTTCTAGTTCTTACCTACGTCCAAACACGGCAGCGATCAGCCGCCCCCTTTACACCACGGATTCTTTTTTGTGGACCCCCAGGCAGTGGGAAGAGCCTGCAGGCAGCACTAATAGCTCAGAAATACAGTGTTGTCAACAGTAAGTTCTCAGTAAATATGCACTTTGCTCAATTCCCCCTTTCTCTCTTTTTGATCATTTATCTTTTGCTGTCTGTCTTTCTTACTTGCTCATAAAATTTGTTTGTCCATTGCTATGGATGTCAAATTTTTGAGGGAAGTGAAAAGTACTTCAATGAAGAAATATAAGCCAGTAGAGCATATATTCTGTGACAAATCAGCTCTAACGTTTTTTAGTCATCGTTTTTCATAGCCTTTACATCGGTATTTTTCCATGTGTTAGATTCCTGTAGTGCTGTGAATTCTTCTGTGCATCACGAGTAACGTCTTTGCAGTTTCAACTGTCTGACCAAAATCGGGGTGCTTTTACAATAGAATTTACTCTGAACTTTAATGAAGACTCAGGTTCTATGCATCTGAAGTAACGTATTAGAAAAGGAAGCAATTATTTAAAAATGCATTCTCTTTCTTTTGTAAAGGAGGCCCAGAAAATCCTACATGAGGCTTGTTGCTGGTTAGCATGCTAATGTTAAAAAGTCCTACAACATGAATACACAACTTGGCGATAGGATCAATGCAATACATGCCCACGTTCTATGATGTCTTCTAATAGTGGAGTAGCTGTAACTTATTTTAAACAAATGTCTCATATCTGTAAAATTTGCTGATTAGTCATATCCTCTTTGTTAAGTTAAATGCGAGTTTGTTTCATTAGTATTCTTCCAATGTACAGCAAATGAAAAAATCAGAATTAAGTAGGTAGTGGGTTTTTATGTTAAGGAGATTCTTTAATTAGTGGAACTCAGTTGCCCATAGCGATGTGCCAGTTTGCCAGTGTCTTCCCTGAAGTCCTGGTGAAGTCAAAAGATTTCACTGAACCTGGGTTTAGCTTTACACATGCATGATATCTTCAAGATCTGAGCTGTATTGTTTTCAATTACCAGTTTAGTAGAGCTGTTCAGAAAAGAAAGAAATTTCTTCAAGTTCAAACTTGAAACTTTACAAAAAGCCGTATGCTTTCCATATGATTGTTCCAACTAATGGCTAGATTGTGGGTTTATGCAGTTCTGTTAAAGGCATAGAAACAGCTATGAAACTGTCTACCTATCAGTTTAGGTTTCTAGGTTTAGTATTTTTTTATTTTAAATATTTATTATTATTATTTTAGTTATTAAAAAAATACATGAATACGACTAAAATTATATCCAGCGAACCTGAAAAAGGTAAATGTAAATTATTTTAAAATCTATATTACAGTACTAATAAGTACAAAACAAATTGATAAATTTTATTATTTTTATTTATTATTTTATTATAAATATGAGTTATTTTAATATTGCTGCTGTTTGTCATTTCATATTAAAAAATAAGTATTTGTAGATTTATTCAAAGCTATATTTTTAATAGTTGTGTAACTAATGTGTAACTAATGAAAAATAAAACATGTCTGAATGTGTTAAAGAAAAATCATTGTTCTTGTGTTTCTGAATATATTTTCTGAACTTTATTTCTAAAACTGCAAGTTTGATGGTGTTTTCATCTAGGTCAAAATTTGCATATTTTTTAAGTAACTGCTATATAAGGGAGTTGCAGCTCTTTTTACTAAAAACCTAAATACCAGTGCTTTACCCATATGTTGAATTTTATTTTAAATATACTGTAAACCAAATATTAGAAGAATTAGGTATTTAAAATAGAGTTGGAAAGCCATAATTTTTTAAAGAGTTTTCAGCATATACTTAATTTCCAATTAGGCCATTGGGGTTGAACCATAGGCTTAAAAATTTAATCCTATTTTTAAATAATGTCATGAATTGGATTGAATTTAGGTGTATACATATTAGTTGTTTGAAGGTGGGGTCTATGCACTGAGTTTCTGTTATGTTTTTACACTGTTTGCCGAGAATACTAATTTGCTTCTCTGGGACAACTAGTGACTGTTAAAATTTGTGTTCATCCTGTGTCATTTAAACATTAAACTGTATCAACTTTGTCCAAGAAGTGTTCCTGTGGAGTGTTCCTACTCTTGTTTGCCAAACGGGGCGATTACCAGCGATGAAACAGATGAAAGGACTGGCTTCTTTTTCTGTTAAAGTCAGTGCAGCTGTAGATGTTGGTGCTATTGATTTCAGAAAGGGTGGAATCAACTTACGATTATTAATTGAAAGGTCATGCAATAATGTATGGAGTGACTGTTATCTAATATTTACCAAAACTGAGTTAAAACTAGTACTTGTTGTGATGTTGTGTAACCTCTTCATGTCTCAGTTCTCTCCCTGTAAAATAAGGGTCGGGACTGTTGAATCTAACTCACGTGGGGCAGTAAGACTCAGTAACTTGGGTCAGAAAGTGCTACGCAAGCCTGAAGGAGCCGTATCGCATATACAACTGTCCTGACTAAAACTTTAAATCGGCATCTCCTGGTGTTCTGTGTATTTGAAGTCAATGATAATATTGGATTAGCACAGTTTTTGAAACATAATTCTTGCATGATCATTAAATGATCCAGGGAGTCGAGTCCTTGAACTGCATATTATCCTGCACCTCCAACAGTGCAGTTCAGATGCTGTTCATCAGGTTTAACTTTATTCAGTAATTCTAAGTTTATAAAAAGTGAAAAATGCTAGCAATCCCATGAGTTATTATTTCAGTAACGTATTTGATTAATATCTTTCTCTCTACCTCTGCTTTTAATATGTTCTTTGCCAAATGTATTCTTTTTTATTCAGTATTCTCCCCTGCTCAGTCTCTTTGCTTTTTGCTCTGCTTGGCCAAAAAAAAAAAAAAAAAAATCCTAACAACAACCCCCAAAAAACAACAACTTTTATTTTATTCAGTGACCTTATTCCAGTATGCAGCTTCTGGGGTTTTTTTTTCTTTTCTTTGTTGCTTCCTTTTTAAAATTTAACCTTGTGTCTTTTGTTTTGTTCCTTCCTGTTAGTTTGCTGTGGGCAACTGCTAAAGGAAGCTGTTGCAGACAAGACAAAACTTGGAGAACTCATTAAGCCTTATATTGACAATGGATACCCAGGTAGGGCCTGTTGTCTCATTACTCTGTAGTTACAAATTTGTGGCAAAAAATAAATTGTGAGTGAATTTTTCTTGGTCAGATTCTAATCTGAGTTACATCAGAGTAATCTGGAAGTTGATCAATTCCTTTCATTACATGTGATTTGTAGCACTGCGTAACAGAAGTTAGATTTCCAATATCTTCAAATGAAACAGTTTACTGTTCCAGTAAAATTCAGTTTTTCTGTACAGATTCCAAAAGTTGATTTCCATGTTTTTATCTCTAAATCAAAATCAGAATTCTGAAAGAGATGTATAATTTCAGAATGTTTAAACTGTTATTTTAAAGCACAGAATCCTGTTTCATTTTTATTTCGAGTGGGCTATAAAAAAGACTGTGCTTTTATATGTAGATTTTGACTTGTAGAACGCTACTATAGATTCTTCTACTTTCACACAAATATTTTTAACTTAAAAGTAAAGTTTCTTTGCACTTCATTTCTAACAGCATTTTTGGTTGTAGGAGAGGACTACCGCAAAGAATATCTAAGCATACTTTGCTTTTGGAAGGCTCTGCAGTGATTTCAGATAAATCATAAATACTGTAAGCTCCTTAGGGCAGCAGCTTAAACTTACGTGTTTGTGAGTTGTCTTGCACGAGGATAACTCTCTGTATGTGGTGGGTATTAAAAATCAGAAAAGATCTGTAGTTCTAAAGGATATAAATTGTATTTCGGTAGGGTGGAAGAATGTTTATTTTGCCAAATTACAGTGGCCTGGAAGAGGAACTTTCAGTCCTGTTTCTGGCAACAGGCCAAATGGTTACCAGTGATACAAATATAAGGAGACAATCTTGCTGAAGGTTGAGAAATCTCGGTTAAGCTTCAGTATTAATGGAATTTTGAGCAAACCCCCCTGAGCAAAGCTAAATCTTCATTGTCTTTTATTTTTGGCAAGGAAAGCCATTTGGTGAGGTGGAGAGCTTGAAAGTCCCCTTTTTTGCACAATAGCTTAATTCTGAGACTGAATTACACAGATCTGAAACATGAGCCTATAAAATTAACTGCGGTTCCCTTGATACCATACCAAGAGATTCAGTACTTTTCTAAGCATTTCAAAAAGACCTTTGGCAGCCTGCAGCTTTGGGTATTCTATCCCTCTGTCAGTCACTTTATCAAGCCACAAGGTAATACATTTTAACTCTAGTGAATGGATTGCATTTATTCTTAATACAGTAACTCTGCTAGTTCAATGCATTAATTTTCTGTGGCAGCCACCATATTGCTGGGACTAGGAGCTTATGTGGGAACCATGGGAGTGGAAAGCATGAATCTCTACAGCCTGAGAGAGAGACGCTGGGTCCTCTGTAACATAGGCACAGAGATCTAGGAGAGGGTTTTCTGATTTAAAGATACTGCTAATCAGAATGGCCATTTACCTCAAAGGCAGGGGATCTTAGAACATATTAATTGCAGCGTAGCCTAGATCTTTAGGTATGGAAATAACGTCTTCATGTTATCCATTAATTTCAGAATCTTATGTGTATACTGTAATTTCACTTTCTTCTCATCTCTGTGAAGTAGAGGACAGCAACTGTAAATACCTCGCTGTCTAAATTTCTGTTATGGCTGAGATAGGAGTTTGGATCTATTTATTCAAAGATAGGTCCTTTAAGAGCTTTCTTTACTAAATGCTCTTTGTGTATTTTATAAACTTCATCTTAACAACTAAAGTTCTTTAAAGGAGATACCAAAAGCATTCCCAGTAGAGTAAAATAATTGCACAGGTTGTAATTTTTTGCCAGTCCTAAAAAATATGTACATCCTTAGTCCAAGGGAGCTGCTTTTATTTCAGGAAAATGAAATTGAAGTTGTAATTCCTTTCTTTCTCCAAATTAGAACTTATTTTAGATTTAGATTATTTTTTTTCGTATAGCATGCAAGGATAAAGCTGTACAATGCTGCTGAATGTTAATGGGAGCCATAACTATATTTCTGTGCATTGTGCTAAAAAATTCTCCCTTAGTTTTTGCTTGTCTGCAGATACATTTTATTTGGTGGGACATACTACAAAATTAAGGGCTGAATAAAAGTAAATATTATATAGCAATACCAGAAATAATAAGTTCTGTCATTTTGCTAATCCTCCTCTCCCAGGGATAACAAAGAATGAATTTACATTAGTAAACACTAACAAGAATTCATTACTGCCCTCACAAGAGGCTTGGAGAAAATGAAAGAACATAGTGTACCGAAGAGGGAAGATCAGCAAAGAATCCTTACTGTTACAACCAGGTTAATACACAGGAAAGAGTCTCGCACTATTATTGACTACATTAAGTTTCAAGAAAATCTCATTTGAATAGAGTTAGTTTAGTCAGTAGCAGACAATTAGAGCTTCAAAATTCTCATTGCATTTCTAGTTACGTACCAAGTAAGCATATTCGTTCCTTTGGGCAAGGAATCATGCAAGTGATATTATTGCAGAATACCCTGGAACCAAAGACAGACCATGAGAAATGTTGCACTCAAATCATTACTAGTCAAAATGAAACAAGTGCCATAAAATCTTGAGGGCACGCCTCATATATTCTTAAAATGCTTGCCCTGGGGAGTGATCTCACTGTGGTTTCCCTTCTTGTGGACACGATTGCATACAATTAGTCATTTAAGATATGCCAACAGGGTATGTTGTGGTGTCATAAGGCTCAAGACCCAGCTTATTCAAAGCGAACTCATTATTGAGTTACTGAGGCTGTCCACTCTCTATTCTGTTCTAGTTCTGGTTGACTAACTCAGATCTTGTCTTGGTTTCAAGATTCGCAAACATTCTTTGTATTGTTTTTTTCCTGTAATGCTGCTTCATGTATACAACATGTATTTCAAGAACAGCCCAGACAGTTCTTTTATTTGCCCCAGAAGGCAACTCAGTGCATTCCTGTTTTCTGTATTGTCTAGTGTTTGCTGTCTCATAAAGACCTTATTTCTTGCTTTATCAAACTTTTCCATTTTGTATATGGTGATTTATTTCGCTTGATGAAGGTAGCATCGATATTTTTGAGCCCATTAATTTTTTAATTCCCAGGACATTCTAGTCTACAGTTGGTGCACACTAGATATTCAAAAATGCATTTTCAGTGAAAAGTTCAGCAACCTGACTGCTTTCTGTCTGTCATAAACACAGAGTTGTTCCTTGGACAACCAGTCTGAAATGCACAGACTTTTCCTTTAGGATATTGTGGTTTTCACTGAACCTAGGCAATTAGTGCTAACTATACTCTGGGCAGAAAATTACCAGCGTTGGAGTTTGATACCAGTCTTCTGGTCACTAACTCCAGTTAGTTTAAATCTTAGTCAGTAATGCTAAGTTTAGTACATGCCGTTTGCTTGGGCAGCCTAGGGAGACTTCCATTTGGAGTAAGAGATGAGCGTAGCGGCCAGAACACTTCCCTAGACAGCAAGACAACTCACATAAATTAATTCATTCAGTTTGATTCCTTCTGAAATGTTGTGAAGAGACTGTTCTGCAGAATGATCCTCGCCTTCTAGTAATTCAGGCTATGGACAAATGATGCATATGTAGATAGCCCCTTCATAGACCTCACTGGCTTGATGAAGACTTTGTGCAGAATCGTGTCCCCCGGTTGCTGTCATTCGGAGAGAGCTGGGCTGCGTTCTCGACCTCTCTCATTGACCACATGGGCACGCATGAATTTAAAGTTCCGTCTGCAGTATCTGTGTTCACCATTTTAAAGGTGTCTGTCAGAATTTGATACCCCATGAGGAAAAAAAACCCCACAAACCTGCAGAAAGTGTTTCTGCTTTTTTTTTTTTTTTTTTTTTGCCCCCCCAAATGTCCCTGGTGTTCACCCCTTGAGATGTTTGCAATTCGTTAATGAAAATAGAAGCAGAAGCATTCTGGCATTGGGGGCATCACAAAAAATAGGAAAGGTCATCACTCAGTTGAAAAGAACTTTGCATGCCACTCTGTTCAGCTTTTGTGGTTTCATGGTGAAATACCATGGAGTGGTCACTGCTAATTAATGTATCTTTGAAAGGCTTCAATAAATGGAGTCAAGACAAATGAAATGACAGAAAAGCAGCATGAAGAGCGAGGCCGGGGGAGAGGGGGGGACAAAAGCACTCCCAAACCAGTAAGATTCTGCTTTTCAGCTGGGAGAACTGCTATTAGTTTGGGTAATTGTTTTTTCCACCAAAATGAAGATTCAGGTGGTAACAAGAGCTGATTCATGGAAGACAGGCAACATTGCACTGTTTCCAGCCTGTTAGAGCTGAACACACACAATCTGTGTTGTTTTTTCCCCTTCCTTTTTCTGTTTTTAAAGTAGTAATATCTGAAGCTGTCCCTGATGGCAGTCTGCACGTGGGGGGTGAAATCTGGAATTCCCTAATTTCTCCTATTTTCTAATAAAAACTATTACTGTACAAATGTAGATATTTTTTCCCCTTATTTTAAATTGGAATGGTTTTAAAGGGGTGCTTTTTGGTGTAGCCTCTGAAAGTTGGGGTCCCCTGGTGATTGTGATCACAGTCTCGCTGAAAGCACTTGGGTGAGGGGTTGGTTTTTTTTGACATCAAATTAATATTCTCATCACTAAGTGTGAAGTAAAGATTTGACAATAGAGCAGCTTCCTCTTTGTTAAAAAACTTGCAAAGAGTTTCAGAGTTGAAAGGCTGAGTAAATCTTTATATCTGAGGAGGTAAGCTTAGTGTTATTTCTTGTTTTTAACAGCGCTGTACTGGCGAGCTGCAAGCTGTCTGAACATTGGAGAGAGACCCTTTGGGAGCTCCATTGGTTTTCAGCAAGTCTTTGCATGCAGTGTGTTTGTACTAGCTGAAGACAGCGCATGGCTCTCTAAATAATTTACAAGTTGATTAATAGACTCACATGGGTATAATTAGAAGAGGGAGAGACAGCAGCTACAGTAACGGGTACAGTGCTTGGGGGAACTAGAGACTTTATTTTTTTTAAAGAAACTTTCTAGGGTGCTGGGCGTTTGAA